TATCTATCTATCTATCTATCTATCTATCTATCTATCTATCTATCTATATATCACGTTCATCCTCTATTGCCTTCTCTTTTCTCCTCTTGCATTCCCACTAATCCCTTTCCTCTTTTCTGCTTCTCAAATAGTTCCTCTTCTAATTTCATGTCATTTGTTTGTTTATCTATTCGTTCACTCATCCATTCATTTATTTGGTTTACACACAGTTGCCACAGAAGCATAGGTATTGGATCAGCGGCTACGCCACTGAAGAAATGTCTCTTAAGCATCATTGGTATTTAGGGACTCAGAGAGGACCCGCGGTGGGACGTGTGACAGTCTTCCTGTAGCATCATTCCACGCCCGACCCTCTTTCTCCCTGTGTCACTGGCGGCGGTCCTAGGCTGGACTCAAACCATCTGTTTATTGCTCACCTAACTGTCCCCACCACCACCACCCCCGCCACCGCATCCTTGGCCTGAAAGGTCGGTCAACTCCCTGTTTATGCTGCAGTGCAAATATTCTAGGCTCCGTGAGTCATGTGATTCATATATCATAAACTATTTTAGGCATCGCGAGTACCGGCTGCGACCACCTGCCTCTGCCACTGCACTGCTGTGAGCGAAGCCGTAATGACGTAATGACGACACAGAAACCGATGGGCGTGGCTACATTCCAGTACAACTCACTGTAGTTTTGAGCGCTTGGATTAGAGTTTTACATAATTTGCTATCTGTCGGGGAATGTCCGTGTATTTTGACTTTTTTATCTTAATCTGATAGAAAAGGGAAAAAAACCACTTCAGTTCATGGGTTATTGAAAAACATGCATCTGGCTAGGCTGGGCTATGGTCTCCTGGCCACTGATGTAGAGGCTAGGGTTGCCAAATTCTGAGGAACTCCACACCCTGGAAGCAGGGAAGGTCTGTTCTCCGTGGCCAGGGTCACGAAGGTGCTGCTCTCTGTTCGTATCCTGCCCCATGCCTCCGCTGTGTGAATTCAGGGATCTCGTCATTACTTCCGGTCTCTTCCTTAATCTGTTTTTCTTAAAAACACATGGTGAGGGGGCATTATATTTAGCAAGCTGCTAAATAAAGTGTCTGGAAAAACAAATGAGGAAAATAAGGACCCACTTAGCAGTGACAGTCGTAGGGTTGAGTCATACTGAAAACCATACGGCGAGAGAGGCAGAGAAATCGAATGGATTTCCTTGTAAATTTTCCACCACGATCTTTTACTTCGTGGAAAGCAGAATAATGTGTGAGGTCATTTTTCCTTCACACAGTTCACTTACATGGAGGAAAAAAAAAAGAAAAGAGGAAGTTTCAACAGAGAAGTGCGGTGCCTAACTAAGCCCCAAGAGACACATTTCCTCGGGTCCCCACCTTTCCTTTGCTCTGCTCCTCCTCTCCCTACCCCATCTCTGGCTACTCAAGTGTCCAGGTGACGGGATTTCCCACCTTCATTATCCAGCAGGATGGCCATACTAACAAGAATGATGTACATTGCAAAAACCAGGAACCAGCCAAAATATCCAATGCTTACAAATGCATTACAGTGTCGAATGACATCAGGAAGGGGAGGAATGCCAGGACACATTGAGAAGAGCACACAGATCCCAGGTACACAGACGCAGAAAACCCAAGGGCTGGAGGGCGGTGCTCACTTTAGTTCCCTGGGTTCTTTTGTTGATGGCACATGATGATCAGTTTTAAATGACAGTCCCAGGGAGCTTAGAGAAAGGACCGTCTAGATGACACGAGGGGAGAAGATCCGGCTTTAATATAAGGAGAAGCAAATACCGGAGCAGAATGATAACGCGAGGTAATTAGAGCCAGTTACACTCTGCCAAGGACTGATATGGACCAAGCGAGTTACATAGGGTCGACCCTGGTTTTAATCACTTTCAATGGGCCAGTTTTACTTCTCACCTGATGAATCAATCTGAGTATATTTCCAGAACCTTTCAGTTCAACCAAGAGGGGCTGGGGTGATGACTCAGTTGATACAGCACTTGCTGAGCAAGACGGAGGACCCGAGTTTCATCCCCAGCATCCAAACATAAAACCGGGTATATTTGTGATCCCTGAGCAGAAGGTGCCACGGGTGTGGGTCCCTCGAACTTGCGAGCCAGCCATCCCCGTCTAATCTGTGAGCCTTGGATCCAAGTGAAAGGTTGTGTGTGGAGACAAAGTGTGATCATGCTTGCCTCGGCCACGTCATATCCAGAAGACAGTCTGTCAGGGCGCTCTGCTCTATGCTTGGGCTCTTAGGTCTCTCTGTTGCCTCTTCTGCAGTGTTCTCTGGAGAGGGTGACATAGATGTTCTGCTGAGAGCTGAACACTCAATACTCATTTATTTATTTATTTAGCTGCAGGGCGATCCTGTACAAGACTTGCACACACAACAAAGATACAAAGGGAAGAGAAGGAGAATTTGGGAAGAAAAGGGAAGGTCAGCAAGAGTGGAAGAGGTCAGGACAGATAAATGGAGATAAACACGATAGCTCACATGCATAGAAAACAAGGCGAAGGCCTCCTGAGGAATCAGAGTAAAGGATGATGTTTGGACTCTGCACATGCATGTGCACATGGTCGCACGTGCACAAGCACACACACACACACACACACACACACACGGGGAAGGGGGTTATATATCTCCTCAGAAGCTCAGCCTTAAGCACTTGTTGCTTAAACAAGTGGCTTAAGAAAAACAAACTTCAAGAGAAAGGGGAGTATGAGCGCCCTGCCCGTTTTGAGGTGAACGGGCTTGGACACGAGTGTCTCGGGTTTTGCATTTCTAGAGTGGGAGTGGGGCCCCGTACTGCTCACTACACTCTCTTGTGAGCCGCACACATGACACAAGGAAAGGCCCCACGGGTTCTAAAAATAGAAGTGTTCTGTGATTATGATTGTTATTAAAGAGGAAATAGCCCGAGTCAACTGTTGAGCTGTTGAATGACTGCTTCATTTTGAACAGATGACTTAAGGGGGTTAATAAGCACATGCTGTGGCCACCACACAGGCTTGTGAGTCAGGGCCCCAGAGCACGAGGCCCAGATCATGGGCTCCATGGGACCCGCTCATCTGACCTGCATGGCTGGGGCTTTCAAATTAGAGAAATGTGGGATTAACCAGTCTCTCCACCCTCCCTTTCCTCCTTAGGCAGGTCCCTTGTGCCATCCAATCCTTGGTTTCTTGGTCCCATCTGACTGAGTCGTGAGGACTGAGGTGATACACCTATTCGTAACGCACAGTAGATTTCCCCCTAACGGGAGCACGTGTTGCCAAGGAAGAGTCAGTAGCTCTAATCTTTAGCGGCTCCTTTGACAATGTATGTAAAGGTTGCTCGGATGGACAATCCGCTCAATTCCTGATTCTCCAGTGAAACAACGAAAGACGTGGCCCACTGCAGTGGCGTTTGCATCTGAATATTCGCAATAAGCACGCTTCTTTCTGTTACTTGTGATGATGTCTCCACGAAACCGGGAAGGCTATTATGATAATTTGACATAAATGAGCCATATCTGCCCTTGGGTTTACTATTCCCCTTTTTGCCCTGCCCGCTTTGATCCTGCAGCTTTGTCCTTTCACCCAGCACAGGAGTTCTTTCCTGTCTCATTTTTCCCTGCACTCAATCCAATATTCCAGTATAACTAGACAGCTATGAAAATTGCTCTCTGGCTGCAGAGCTGGACAGTAAGTCAGGTAGACGTCCTGAAAATGGAGCGCTAAGATCTGTGTGCAGGGGAGCCCCCTGTCAGGGAGAAAGGTAAGCAGAACTCAGCTGATGCAACGTGGAGTTCTGGAGTTGGTATTCCCATTCAGAGAGGTTGTGGATTGTACCATGAGACTGTACCCAATACCTAGAAAGGGACTTGGCTGAGATCCGCCCACCCAGTCCTCTCGAGGCTAAGGAATATGTGTCTCCCGCTGACGTGTCAGGTAGGGTGGAGGCATTCCACCAGATCCACTACTCCACGGCTCAGCACTCCAGGTTTATCCCGGCTGATGTCTTACCATGAGGTCTACCCTGTCCCTCTACTCTCCCTCATTCGACCTGTGATATGACTGTCACTTGTACAAGCTATTTCCAGACACCTCTTGCTGTTGACACGGAGTTTAGAACCACAAAGCTGACAGGCCAGCCTTGGGTCTGTTCTCAAGACTCTAGTGGATGCGAAGGATGAGAAAGAGATACCTCCTCAACAGAAGCAGCGGTGGCTGTTGTTCTGACAGCTGAAGTTTCCAACACTTCAGCATATTTGGGCGTACTCAACGCTGCTTAGTCTGGTTCCTCATTTTGTTTATAGGAAAGAATATTTCATGAGTAATGATACAATTCTATTCTTACACAATATCCATTGGGGTTTTCATTTCCTTTATTTGCTCAAGTTTTTTCCTATATAAAGTTTTCTCCTGAAAGTACGACAGGAAGCCCTGTAAACTGAAAGAAAAACTTCAAGCTGGATGAACGGGGTTAGAGGAAGAGCATTTCCAAATGGCACAAAAGTAGCAACTGCGAAGAGGCGACTAGAAAGAGTACTTGGCACAACACCTGTCCTGTTCTCCTGTGAAATGAAGCAATGAACATTTGGGCTATCTGCGGGTCATTTCATAAAATAAAGTGACTCATTTAGATAAGAACCATGAAACTGTGCTTGCTGCACAATAGGTTTTAAATGAAAAAGAACTGAGTAAAAAAATGAACGCGATTACATACATCTACAAAATGAAAGAGACAAAGGTGTAAAGGTGTAACAATCTATACTGATACTGATATATACATGTATAAAATATGGAAAAGGAATTATATCTCATTTTACATGAACTCTATGTACTTTATGCATTTCTATATAAGTGCCTAAGTGTATATACACAGGTGGATGATGGAAATGAACACACACATATACCTCCTAGTAGCTGGTGTCATTTGAAAAGCCATGCCCCTCATACAGACAGACGCACTGAGGAATGAAGGGCTGACGTACCCCAGCTCTGAGTCAAGTCTGACACTCCATACCTGGCGCCCCCAATGTTTCTAGATCTCCTTGTCACACCCTAAACAGAACCCCACAGATCTATGTACATTTTCTCAGTTGCCTGACATCTCCTAGTATCAATATGCCATTTGGATCTTAGGACCCTATACTGTGGGTGGTGGCATGGGCTCTGCCCCTCCCCCCCTCCACTGATTCTCTTCAGAGCACTTTCCAGGTATCTGTCCCATTATGAGGTTGATCAGATGTCTTAAAGAAGTCTGGCCTCCATACCTCCATGATTGTCTAGGCCTGAGCCAGGCCTTGTGGCAAGCAGGTGTCTGTGAACAGATCAGCCCACTGGACTCACAGACTTGGCTTCCAGAGTGGTGCTGACACTCTGATTTGGTTCAGTCACCCTAGACATAAGATTCTGCAGGGTTCTGAATTCACTTTCTACCTGAGCTTGGACCTGCCATTATATGTCTCAGTGTTCCTAATGCAGTGCTGTCTCCCATTTATAGACCCCTGGAGTAGTGGAGTGTCATCAGTGCGCTCTCTCTCTCTCTCTCTCTCTCTCTCTCTCTCTCTCTCTCTCTCCTTCCCCCCATTGCTGCTCTTAATCTGATCTACTCCTCCCCTATCCCCACCTTTGACAAATTCCTTGTCACATTAGGCGGTCAGGAATGGCCTCCAACGCTAAGGTGTTTGAAGACTTGCTCTACAATGCACACGGCCATGGATCTTTACAATAGATGTCTCCTCATCATTTCCCAGGCTGGTCTTTTCACATCAATGGAAAAACTCTTCTTGATGAGCTCTGAGGACCCTTTCCTACTGTCAACGGTGAAAGAGGTCACCAGGAATGTGATAAAAAAGCATCCCAGAGAAGACATGACTGAAAACATACATTTATAGTTCATACGGTTGACAGGAACGTTAGCCTGAGCAGAGAATGAATCTTTGTGTGCATTTTTCTGCACAGGGGCATTCATGCTCATGACCAGAGCAGCAAAGGGACAGTCAATAATAAAGTACTTGGAAGCTACTGTTCCAGGGCAGCACAACGGAGGGTTAGGTGCTGTGATATGACCAGACCAAACAGCAGTTGCCAGGGATCTGAAGGGGGAATCTGTCCACCGTGATTCAACACACACAGGCACCAAGAGCTGCAACCTGAGTCATAACACACTTTCACCTCTTCTTTGTGGTAGATGCTGCTCACGAACAGTCCATCTGACAACGAAGAACACAGAGAAGGCATTCTTCTTAGATGTTTTTCTTAATATATATATATATATATATATATATATATATATATACTAATTATACACAATGATGGGCTTCATTGTAACATTTTCATATATGTATATAATGTATTTTGATCCATATTCGCCCATTGCCCTGTCTTGTTCCCCTCTCACATGCAGTAACGCCCTTCCTCTTCCCAACTACCCCTTCGACTTTCATTTATGTCTCTCTCTCTGTCTCTATTCTCTCTCTCTCTCTCTCTCTCTCTCTCTCTCTCTGTGTGTGTGTGTGTGTGTGTGTGTGTGTGTGTGTGTGTAAAGGCCTATGGGTGGGAGTTTAATCACAGGAACATGTGTAATTCACCACTACTAAAGAAAATGTCTCTCCCCCTGGCATCTCTCATTGTCTGCACAGACATCCTTATAGAGGGATGGGGACTCATGAGCCCCTTGTTCTTAATGATAAGTTGCTGACAGACCCAGCCTTCCACAGGTAATCATGGCTGCTTTGAGTATGAAAAAGCAGCAGTCATGCCATGCCTGGAAGTCAACTTTCCACACCAGTCCTTCCTCTGGCTCTTCCATTGTCTCATCCCGCCTTCTGCAATGTTCCCTGAGACTTTAGGGGAGGGATGTGGGACGGATGCTCCATTCACGTCTGGGAAGGAAGTAGTTCTTGAACTTGTATGGAAAGCTATAGTGCCTAGAGATGACAAAGAATTCTGCCAAGCACTGACTAAACAATAAACAAATATTCAAACATTACCTCTTGTCATCCTGGATCTTATTGACAAAGGATTAGACCACACAAATCTATGGCTTTATGTTTTTAACAAGCCTGTCTGTATAGACAGGGCAGTAGTTTACATATTCATATATAATAATAAATATGATTTCCTCTGCCCTGGTGCCTTACTTCCTGAGGGTACCACCTCCTACTAGTGCTATGGACTGTGACAAAGGTTTTAACGCATGAGTCTTTGGGTGACATAAACGACAGCATGCCCATCTCTAGACCAATTGTTCATGTCTCTAGATCATTAATCAGACACTTCCAGTGCCCTAATCCTACCCCATGCTGGCAAAGGAAACAGTTTTAAGGGGCACGTAATTCCTCCATAAAGACTTCTCCTTAAATCCCTCTAAATCTGCCTATTGCTTTTATATATGAAAATATTTATCTTTAAAACTTCTGAAATGTTGTCCCCAGACATGCTGAATGATTCCTTTCCTAGAAGAATGTTTTAGCTCCTTTTACTGACTCTGTGATAAAACAGAGACACCAACCCATGTGTGCCACAGTCTGTCTGGATTAGGGACTAACCTACTGGGGAAAAGGGAATGACAGACACACACACGGAAAGCTGGAATGTGGTGATCTGTGTACTACTGCGATGGAGATGCACCAAGAGCTGCCTAGAAACTCAGTGTGAATATTCTGTGAGGCAGGAGTGAGGCAGGATCGCTCATCTCAGCGGGAGGTCTCGCGGCAGCTCAGTCTCAGGTTGCAGTCACCCCGGAGAAGGAAACCGATGTTGAGACTTTGTGCACACTCTGTCAACATTTGAACTCTGACCACAAGAAGTCTGACTCAGGAGAAAGCCTGGCTATTCCCATGGCCATACTCAATGTGATAACACTGTCACTCAGGATTTCACCTCCCACCTCTCTTTCCTTTACTTTTGACTCTCTTCATTTCTTTCTTTTTCTTTTTGGCCTCTCTTCTTATTTTCTCAGTTGACTTGGTTTGAACTTGACTCTTGTATTTGATATTTTTCCTGTTTGAAATCAAATCAAGTTCCGATTTTAATTCATGTGGAAGGAACATATGGTTTGTCTACTCATCTGTCACGGGGTCTCTGTCAGCTCTTCTTAATCCCTAAGAAGTAAAAAGGCAATGTCCCCTTTGTCAGCGGGTAAATCAGACTCCATGGGGCAACACACCATCATCCTCTAACATAACAGAACACAAGTCTTCTCGCTTGCCTGAGCATATGAATGACGGCAGAACCCTTGAGAGCCATTACATACAATTACAAACACTTACATACAAGAGAAGATGCTCAGACGCAAGACTTTGTGATGCAGCAGCTTGGGGTTTTGCATGCTAAAACAGGGAGCTCTCTTCTTTGCACTAGATTGGGCTTAAACTAGTTCATAAGACACTGGTGAGAAACTACAGTTTGATGACCAAAGTCAACCCAACCACGTCTGATTGATGCTCGGAAGAACGGCCTGTCATTTCAGGACACTCCTTTCTTCTTCTCCCTGCTTCTTCTTTTAATACCTCTCTGTGATGAGCCAAGTTGGGAGAAGAGGTCTATGAAACTTTCTGCTAACAAGCAATGGGCAACAAGTGTCAGACAAGGTGAGTTCAATGAGTAGGAAAACACTGGCGTCACTCAGTCAGAGCAGATGGTGACCAACCATTTTCAAGCTTAATGGCAAGTACCCTCTGAGAGCAGCCAGGCCTATTAGCTCCTTTCCATGCTGGCTTCAGTTATCTATTGCCATGGCATCCTCTACTTCCTGCTCTCTTCTCAGATAGATTGCTTCAAAGTCACACAGATGAGTCCAGAGGCAAGGCAAGAATTCGGGTTTGCGACCATTGGGAATTTCATGCGTTAGAAAGTGGAAACCCCAAAAGGCCACATTCATCCCATTCATCCCAGGGAGAAAAATGTCTCTGGCCTCTAAAATGTCTGAGGCTTCGGGCCTATGGGATACTGCTTCTGACTTTCTCAGCCCAAACCTTTATGTTGCCTTGTTTTCTGCTGAGTGGGGCTTTGCCCTAACAGACTTAGGTACAAGTTCTGCTTGGGATGTGTGAGGAAACACTGTATAAGCCATTAAATCTACCCTGTACTTTAACCCCAGAGGCCACAAGGACAAGGAATGGGGCAGTGTGTCAAGCACTTTCACCAGCCTCTAACCTCAGTTTCTCCTTCCCAAAGCCTGTTATTCAATCCCACCTCTCTCAGCTAGCCCCTCCCACTCCACGGTTGAGCATGAACTCTCTGAACTGACAACCCCAGACTCCTACCTCTCAGAATCCAAGCCTTTCCAGAAAGCCCCGGCTTTTGAGCATTTTTATTGTTTTTATTGAGCTATATGCTTTTCTCCCCTCCCTTCCCTTCCTCTCCCTTTTTTTCTCCCCTCTCCCTCCCCCACCCTCCCAATTTACTAGGGAAATCTTGTCTTTTTCTACTTCCCATGTAGATTAGATCCATGTGTGTCTCTCTTAAAGTCCTGTTTGTTGTCTAGGTTCTCAGAGATTGTAAATTGTAGGCTGGTTTTTCTTTGCTTTATATCTAAAAGTCACTTATGAGTGAGTACATATGATATTTGTCTTTCTGGGTCTGGGTTACCTCACTCAATATGATGTTTTTCTAGATCCATCCATTTGCCTGCAAATTATAAGATGTCATTTTTTTCTGCTGTGTAGTACTCCATTGTATAAATGTACCACATTTTTCTTATCCATTCTTCAGTCAAGGGGCATTAGGTTGTTTCCAGGTTCTGGCTATGACAAACAATGCTACTATGAACATAGTTGAACCCATGTCCTTGTGGTACGATTGAGCATCTTTTGGATACATACCCAAAAGTGGTATTGCTGAGTCTTGAGGTAGGTTGTTTCCTAATTTTCTGAGAAATCGCCATAGTAATATCCAAAGGGGCTGTACCAGTTTGTACTCCCACCAGCAATGCAAGAGTGTTGCCTGTTATCCTCTCCGGCATAAACTGTCATCGGTGTTTTTGATCTTGGCCATTCTTACAGGTATAAGACGGGATCTCAGAGTTGTTTTGATTTGCATTTCTCTGATGGCTAAGGATGTTGAACATTTCCTTAAGTGTCCTTCAGCCATTTTAGCTTCCTCTGTTGAGAGTTCTCTGTTTAGGTCCATACCTCATTTTTTAATTGGATTATTTGTTCTTTTGATGATCAATTTCATGAGTTCTTTGTATACTTTGGAGATCAGACCTCTGTCTAATATGGGGTTGGTGACTTCTTATTAGTGGTGATAGCTTTCCTGCAAATCATGAATTCATTAACTGATCCACCGCATGCACCCAGGGAGAGATTCTTTCAAAACCCAAGACAGAGCAGTGTGCCTGAAAAAATCGCTTATTCAGGGCTGGTTTGGTAGATTAGTGTGAACCCTGGAACCTCCATTGTGAAAAAGAACCAACTCCTGCAAGTTGTCCTTTGGCCTCCTCCATGCATGTTTCAGGGCAGACCCCTCCACCCCCAGTCAACAGTTTCGAAATGAAGAATGACTGAAACGCTTGTCTGGTCTCCTAGTAACAGAGACATTATCATTTTGATCCATTTTATAGGCAGGCAAATGCAGCATGTCACCTTGACTGATCTTCACTTAATCTTTCAGTGAGAGCAACCAATAAGACTGGACCAAAGAAAAAAGGGTTGGCACTTACATTTGTATAGCATCTGACTAAGTACAATAAACTCTGCCTTTGATCTTACTTGGCCATGAAAAGAAGCCCTGCAGTAAGTGAGGCAGATGTTATTATCAGCCCTCTTATACAGTTCATAAAACTGATACTCACTCCGAAAGATTGTGTCTCATGAGAGGTCACACAGCTAATAAACAATATTCTGGAAGAGACACAGATCCAGTTATTCTGATTCCAAATCCTTCTCTCTCTCCACCAAAGCACAGTAGCACATCCAATTACAAAACGTATTGGGCAACTATGACAATCCCCTGGTGAGACCATTCTTTTTACTGTTAATGATTTTTTTCACTTATTTTACATAGCCACCACAGTTTCTCCTCCTTCCTCTCCTCCCATTCCCCTCCCTGCCCCGCACCTCCCACCTACCCCCGTCCCCTGGTCCCCACTCACTCCTCCTCCATCCTCATTGAGAAAGGAGCAGGCCTCCCATGGGCACAGCATGGCACATTAAGTTGAGGCAGGACCAAGCTCCTCCCCCTGCATCAAGGCTGGGCAAGGCAACCC